ATGAAGATATCAGTTAGTGTTACTCTTCCTTTTTTTCCTCCTAGAAAGCCTAACTGAACTGTACGCTCTTATTTGTCTCGTTAGAATGAAACTTAGGCATAGTGCAGTGCTTCTTGTGATTGTTTTGCTCGACCACCACAGCTAGATTAACCTCCTGGGGGAGCCTAGAGCAGAGATTAGTCGTTTCACCCATACAGACTTCCACTATACACACACAGATAGCCAGAAACCAACCAGGATTCTAAAACTGAAACAATATTTAGTTAGTTAAATTAGTAAATTTATGGCTCTGATGAACTGATTTTATTTTTTAAGCAAAACGCTCGACTAGTTAAATGTGAATATTTAGCAGTATTCACAGTCTTAGCAACAGTCAACTCAGCATCTTTGAGTTGCTGAGTGTTGGACAGACAAAGAAAACTATTTAAATATACTAACATGTTGTGTTCTCCTATTTTTTGACAAATAATACAACAAACAATAAATTGATTATTAAAGAAGATTATTCTGAGGTTTACCGAAAATGGAAACAACAACAATAAACAACAGCAGTTGGTTGGAGCCAAGAGGAAAAATATACCCTGAACTATTTCTTTAAATCGATCATCATGTGCGATGCTTAGCACGAGATATGGTGATGATGCACCTACAAAATAGTGCAGGGGGAATTGTTTTAGTGAAACTTTTGCACACCAGGAGACAAACGCTGTATTTAAAATGGCTTTATCAAATAAAACAAACAAGAATTGTAGGTTGGTGCTTGGAGGTTGTGTCTCATTGTGAGCCTGTACTTGTAGGGTTGCAGAAATCTCAACCAATTTGAAATCAATTATGAAATAATATATAAACTCCAACAATAGTGAGTAAACCTGGGCTGTTTTTTTTGTTTTCTTTTAACGACCCCTCGGCTGTTTGCCAACAAGAAATGGAGTACTAACTTATACAACTCCTTTTGTCCTATCACTCCTTGAAAATATCTTAAAAATGAAATGAAATGAAAAATACTTTATTTATCCCAGAAGGGAAATTCAATTAAAAATTAAAAAGGACAACCAGCTGTCAAAACTGTTGCACATTTCTGACAGTAGACCCACCTTATTAACTGTTGATGCTACTGATGCTAAGTGTCATAGAACTAAGAAATTCCACGGAAAACATAGTTTGGCCCACTGAATGTAGGTTGCGTATATCAGCCTGCCACTGGCAAATCATTTTAGCCAGCATGCTCTCTTTCACCATCTGTGTGTTACCATTTTTTTGTTTTTTCCAACAACACCAACCCACTGCACTGAAACTGAAAGTTTTGCTGAAGCTTTGGACTGTGCAGCCAGGCGGCCCTGCTACTTTTTACAGTGGACTCTCCATTTTAAAGACAGTACTCATCTCTCTGTGTGCAAATGTTCCAACACAGGAACTCCACACAAAAGCCGCATCCTTCACTTTGTCATAATATTAATCTGTCTACCATCTGTTTGAGTTTGCCCCTGAAAAACTGAGTGGGGGGCCCATCTCACATCCCTCATCACAGGACCTCTCCTTGTTAAAGAAGGGGCTCTATTGAAAGTAGAGGTTGGAACATGGCAATCACCCCTGCCTTTAAATACAGACAGGGAGGGAGAAGCAGTCCTCTCTGAGGTAAAAGCCCAATTTTTTAAATCATTTTTGAAGACACAATCAGAGGTGAATGATGATTATAGTAATACAAGATGGGAAGCTGGGCTTTCTCTCACGCTGCCCAGCAGACAACGGCCATCATCTAAAAGGTGTGTTTATCTACTGGTGGTGGTTTAACTGGGACTGTTCACTCTTCAGAGATGCCTCAAAGTTCTACCAGCCGGCCTCTTTTTCACCTGGAGAGCCTGGTTGAATATTGAACACAGAAGGATTGTATGACCCTCCAGATAGAGAAGGCCTTATTTCTGAGCCAGAAAATAGAATATAGCCCCGTTAAGGGCATACCTAAGAGCTTCTACATGTCCTACATCTACATTGTAGAGCTAAGTCGTAGTCTTGTCGAGGCAATCAGAGCACAAGTGTACTTTGTAAAACTATAGAGCCAGACTGACTTTTATTCTTATCACTTCAGCACACCGTACTGAGCAATTGTGAATGTATCTGTTGCATTTGAAACAGCGATAAGGTGCGGTCAGTTTAATTTCTAAACCCTCTTTTTCATGCAGAGCAGTAATAATGATAACACTGGAAGACAAAGGCTGGGATGCACATGAGCGTTCATGCAGAAATTTTCTTATTAAAGAACTGTCGACACCATAGCGCGGGGCACCTGCCCTTTGAATTGGGATTCGCATTTCCAAAGACAGGAACTTATTGAGTTTGCTCATCAGCAGTAGAGAGAGGCGATGGAAAACAGCCCTCCAATTTGTGCTCGGTGCGAAAATAAAGGAGACCTCAGGCAGGGAGAGTGACCTTTAGTGACTGGGTTTTAACCAGCCGAAGCAAACAGGGTCACAAACACAGCAGAGACGTGTTCCTTATTAAAAAAGCAGAAATACACTGCGAAGCCTATGAAAACCAGCAAAGAGGAAAATCACATGCGGGAGTAAAATGTGTGTAGACATTATCAGAGCAGAATTTCAGATACAGCTGGCATACAAAGGTTTGGGCAGCTCTGTTCAAAACAGAGTGAAAGATGATGGGATCTCAACCTCCCCCCAACAAAGTTAAAGATGAAACATTCTTAGAACATCTGAAGCAGGACTAGTGTACTATTGTTGGCATTGCAGCATTTTAGTGTGAAAACAGAAGGATTTATAATGCAGAAATGTAGGCACAACTACCACAGTCTCTTGTTGGGGCTGTGGCTGCTAGCAACAACCAGGTGATTCAGATTTTAAAGCTTTATAAATACGACAACTCCTGCAACCTTGCCCCAACAATCAGCAGCCACTGGTTCCTTTTAACAGCTGTTCAGCACTTTGAACACTTAACACTGAAATAATCTTTGCCCACAGAACAGAAAAAGATAGAAAGTGTTTCCAGGTGGCCGTTTCTTCAATTCCCAATGTGGTTAAAGCTGGAGAAGAAAGCATCTTTTGGCATGATTGAGAAGAAAGGCTTTAGAAAATGTCGTCCATGATGGGAAATGTTAGCCAATCACAGAGCAACAAACCCAATGGTGAGAGCAACATGTGTTGGCGTAACAGGTCAGATGGAGAGCCAGATTTGAAAAACCTTTAATAAATATTGCAGTTTGGCTTGACTTTCTTTTTGTGCTTGAAGTGCGTGATCATCTGGTTGGAAGGGGTTCGACCAGAGGGTGGAGAGGTGTATGCAGTCGAATTCTGGCTTGTTTCCCCCCACAATGCAATTAGCAACTCATTCAGAATATATGTTTAAACTGGGTTTAAACTGTCCTATCAATGGATTAAAAAGTTCACGCTGCCTTCCTTGTGTGACAGTCGCTCTTTTGATACTATCTCATGTGACAATGCTCCCTTACATATTTTAAATCTGCTACACAGTAATTATTGAACTTGAAAATTGAATTTGAAAAAGTATATGCAAATCAAATCACAGAAAAATCACAATTCGCCTCAAATGCCCTAATGTTCACCAACTAGCCACTGAGATTGATTCTGTGTTTGGTGCTGCTCTGGTGGTGTTTCTCAGAACTCCTCCCCAGAAAGCAGTGAAGCTGAAGCAGACGGCAGAGTTGTGGGCTGTGAAAAACCAAAACATTGTGTTTACAGATGCTAAAATACTAAAAAAATGTAGAGCTGAGAGAACTGCAGAAGTAGGGATCATCACTAACAGCTTCCCCTTTCATCTTACACATAACCATGGAGTCCACTGGTAATGTGAGAATATTGCTTTAGGCAGCTTTAAGCACATTGAAGCTAACATGCCTGCACTACAACTGCTGTAATGTGGTGTTTAAGTGTGGCATTAGCACCAGAGTTTGCTAAAATTCTCAGAAAAATTGCCAGTAATAGTGATACTACCCAAGTTTCCAAGACAAACTTTCAAAAACCTGCAAAAGCTTTTAAGCACTAAGAAGAATTAAAGCTCCAGTGAAACCTCAACCAAACAAAAACCAAGTGGAAAATGTGGAAAATGACATTTCTGTTTGTGCCATGTATTCATTTGAAGAAGGACACAGCCTCCTCATCACCGAAGCTTCAAACACATTATGATTTTTTAGCAATATACCAACATTTACACCTTAGATAAAAAACATTTTTTTTCTTCAGTAATATAAGGACTTTTAAATTGTCTAAATACTTACTGATGTGATTTCCAGGACATAAGGCTTTGGAAAGGTATGATCTTACACAAAGGACACAGATGCCACTGTAACACACCAAAGAGCTGAAACATTTTCCCCTCAGTTAAAAACGGAATAGTTCAGATCCATGACTGCTATCTGAAATGCTGACCTACAGCTACGACTTTCATCTTCTAATGATAGTTCTACTGCACTAAAGGGCTCGTCCCTGCTGACCGCAGATCAGTTTGATTTCTGCTCAAGGCAGAAGAGTCTGGCTTCGGGCTGAGAGAGCTCTCTTTCTTTGAGCTGACTTTGTATTAAAGGAGCCTCAAAACACGCCAGCAATACAAACTGTTTGCTTGGCATCATTTCAAAACATCCCTTTGTTGACAAGACTTGCACTGATTGAGAAAATACAACTGCCTGAGCAGGGAACAAAACAAACAAACTAATCCTGCTTATGAGCAACTAGATGGTGCTTGGAAAGTGCAACTCTGAACAGTTTCCCACTCGCGGGCACCGTTTCCATCACTTTACTTTTAAACTATATGGATTTCTTGCCAAAAATAAACAAAGAGGCGGATTTTGAGTGAAGCTCTTCAACTAAAGGTTAAATCTCGGCTCCGTTAAACCACCAGATTCAAATCTACAGTCCTCGGTTTAAGGCTGATCTGTCCTGACTGTGCCCTGAAACCAGTTCCGAGATCAAAACATGCAGTATTTATGAAAGGTAGAGCGGTGGAATAAGCTGCGCTCCAGAGACGTGACTTACCGTCATCCTTTACCAGCACCTCCTTCTGGCACATGTCCTGCACATTCACGGTGCAGTTGACGATGAACTCTGGCGTGGAGCAGTCGTGCGTCATCTCCTCACACTGGTAGCACTGAATCTGCAGAGCCAGCGCTGCAAACACACACAAAGTCAGTTATTCAGTCTGCTTTCATTGTATCACCACGTTAAACCCCCCCACCAGTCGGAGTGACCCTTGACCGTTTTTCATTTACACTCTCAATTTATTTTCCCTGGAATCACAAATAAAAATTTTATTGCAAAAGTTTCATCTCAAAGAGTTTAATTTTTGGTGAATATTCTAACTTTTGGTCTCTTCTGCCCCGACCATTTCAAATTGATGTGACAGATGTGCTCAATTATTTAGCAGTGTTTGCGTTGCTGCTGGTGCATTTATCTGAGCAGCATGTTGTTGCAACATTTCATCATGTCTCTTGCTTTGATAGTTCATATTTGTCTGTCTCCTCTGCAAAAAACTGACTTGTTTATGGCGAACTCACTTTGCTGAGTGTCCTTCGGGGTACTCATTTATTTGGAAGGAAGGAAAAACTGTTTTCCATGAACTGCTAGAAATGCAATAAAGTCCTGAATACACTGACTGAGTAGTGTTGACTTTTACACTGTTTAGGTATTTAGGTTTCTGAATCGCAGCATCTACAGTAGCTCATACAGAATGTCTATGTGTTCTGAATGGTCTTATTTAAAAATCTGTTAGTATAAAGTTTTATATAACCCAATGCCATATTGTACTTTTGATTAGCAGCAAAATATTTCATGTCATCGTTGCTCAAATGTGCAATAATCACATATTTAAAAGCTTACATAGAACTTACAGTTTCTGTTTCCAGACCTGTTGTAGAGGTGTGGATACGTACAGTCGTGGAATACTAAAGCTGCATTTCAGAGGGAAATACATTTTTTTCATGCACTATCTGTACCTGAGAGCCAAAATCCAGATGTTCCTGCAGCACAGACACAGGTTAAGGGGTATCCTATTTGTACACCATGAAATAAATAAAGCAAGTAAAATTTACCAAAACAAAATAGGAATTAAAAAAAAAGAATGACATTAAAAATCTATGTATGTATGTTGCAACACTTGAGATTTTCTTTGTTATGTGTGCAAATATGTATGCAGAAGAGTGCAGCAGAGCCCCTCTGGTAGCCATGTTCAGCAGAACTGTATATAATGTAAATGTTTTCATTATGTATGATAATGTAAACACACAATACAGCAGTAACACAGGCATAAATAAAATCAAAGTGGATAATGGTTAACATACAGTCATGACTTATTTGCATTATAAAATATGATGCATTTTTATCATTAATCTTCCCAACTGAATAAATAGCAGTCTAATGTACTAACGTGGTGCTCTGAAGGGGGGGCATTTGCATTTTTGTTTTTACTTCTCACACTTCAGTGCATTTTGCTGCTAATAACTCTGCACCTTTATCAAAGTAACAAACTGAATACAGGACTTGTTTTTGCTGAAATGTTGCTCTTATTTGAGGATCTGAATAATTATTCAATCACTGCCCAAATAAATGTCATCAGCAGACTTGACAGAAGGAGCAAAGCGCTCCTCTTTACTGAGCCGCTGCGGAGCATCATAGAGGACGGACACAGGTTTATCTCACTGAATTAACTGGAGTCAGATTGGACTATACGTTGCTGATCATCAAAACTTACCTGGATCGTGTGAAGCGCACAGGAGCGCAGCGCCACGGTCAGCTTTTGGAGACTATAATCTCTGACAGTAAGAATAAAGAAGGTGTGGCACCTACTTTAATCTATCCAAATTTGAGTTGCCCATTATTATAATGACGAGAAATAATCAGAAATCTGCTCAACTTTAAAGACAGACACGTTGGATCAGCGTGGACCCCTCCAAGCTGTGCGCTCTGCGTCTCCCGCTTAACCAAAAAAAAATCAACACCTTCTCCTCTGGCGGTTCCTGCGCTCCTTCTCCACAAACCAGCAGCTTTTGGAAGTTTGGGTGTCAAACCACAGGCTAATAAATCCCGTGAAGTGATGGGAATGAAAAAGCTTTTGAATCCGTACCTGAGCTGCAGAAGAACAGGAGCAAAGTTGAGACAGTGAACAGCCGCATTGTCCGCTTAGTGTGACTCCGAGCAGGAACATGAGAGGCGGGTGCGCGCCGGCTCGGAGCTGCGGACGCAGAGCAGCTGGCAGCCTGGCATGGTGAGCTGACACCTCCTGCGCTGCTGCTTCTGCTGCTGCTGCAACTCTCTTATCCGCCGCTGACGCACGCACACGCGTGTGTGCACGACCATATTGTGCGCCACGTGATTGGACACGACGCTAAGAAGCCTGTTACCTGGATTCTTAAATTATGTGTTTTTTGTTTTTGTTATCACATGGGTATTTGTTCTTGTCCGGTTACAATTCTTAAAGACAGACAGGAACCAGCAGCCTGTGTTCCACTCTTCCAATCACCATGAGTACTTCCTATTTACCCAAATAACTCCATACTCTTTATTTGCTTTATTTATAGCTCGTTATTGAATAAGAATTAGACCATTAAGTGACCCTACAGATTTAGTGCTCTGACCTCCAAAATCCCTAATGAGGGTTTTATCTCTCTGAGGGCTGAAAATCACTCTATAACTATCACCATTTCCCACTTTGACCTCACAGAAAGACTCCATGAAAGATAAAAGCTTCTATTCACTTTTGCTTGTAAAAAATAATTTTCATTCACTGCAAGACATGAAGGAACAAACAGTCCATTGTAGGTCAGAGGTCATGGATGAGCACCAGAGTGTGAAAATCTAAATTCAAACCCTGAAGCTTTAACTTGACACCAATAATGAATGTCACTGTGAATGCTTAAGTTAGGATCATAAGGGATTGTGACATGCAAATACACCATGTAGCCACAACATTAAAACCTGACAGGTGAGGTGATTGATCATTTAGTAACATTGCAAAGATGTGCTGAGAACCTTTGGATCCTGACATTCATGTGGATGATACTTGGAGATGTATAAGCCATCTAAACACAATATGAAGCATGTTCAGTGTGAGTCAATATCTGATGAATAACGAGTGCTTTCAAACTTATCAATAATTATCATTCATCTGTTTTCCATGCAGGAGCAAACCAAAAGGCTGACCAAACCACTAGGCTGTTCTCCTGGTGTCCTTTCCTGACCTTAAAGCTACTTCTACACAGGCAGCGTTTCAGCCATAGTCCTCAGCTGTCTGTCTTCAGTACCACAGATGGAATACATTCATTTTTCATCAATCCAGCTGTCTGCAGTGGCTGTGTAATGGCTTTCCTCGCTCTGTATGCCTGTAAACATGACCTGAAGCGTAGTTTATACACACAGCCTCAGTGGCTGTACTGGCTTCCAACTCACAGGTCCACAGGTGAATGTTGGGCTGGACACACACTGCGTGGACACAGGTGGAGCAGTGGAGCTGCTGCTGCTGCTTTGCTAAACTGTTGCTCGTATTTCCTTTTCTGTGTAGACACGATGTAGCCGTAACACATACTGAACCTGTGCTGTCTTTGTCTTTCCTTAATGTTCAACACAAAGCTGAGCACTTATTGTAGGATGTCAGCTTACTGCAGGATACAACCTGGACAGGTAAGTACTTCTTCACAGAGCAAACACAAAGAGTCCCAGTGAAGTGATGTCTATGCAGCCTTGTTTTGTGTAAGAGGAGTTGTACACAAGCTGGTGTGCTGGAGCTGCAATATGCAGGGTGAGAGGAGAGGTGATGGAGGCAGGAAAAAATTTTTTAGACATGTAACTTTGGAACACAGATGAGTTTCTGACAGGCACAAAGTCACAAGGCTCTTTTCTGTCCAGCCGTTCACTACTCTAAGTCCAGCCCACCCACTGAGCTGCTTTATAAGAGAGGCAGCGTTCATTCATTCATTCTGCTCCACCAGCCTCCTAAGATCCACATCATTCACAGATTGAATCATGATGTTGATCATAACTGATCTTTCAACACAACCATGAAGACTTTTCTTCCACAGTCAAATTCAGATGAACTTAACAGAATTCAACTAGATTGATTTAATTACAGGCTGCAAGGTGGCTCGGTGGTTAGCATCACCGCCTTGCAGCAAAGTCACCGGTTCGCATGCTCAGGGAACATCAGTAAATTTAGAGTCCATCGATAAGCAGATGTTAAGGAAGTGAGGTGTTTCACCTGTGACATGGTGGGAGTGCTACCAGTGGAAAAGTCAGACTGGAGCCCTGCTCCGTGTCATCTTTCTTTAACTACACAATTGCAGATCATTCCTGGTTTGAATTAGAATAGCAGGTACAGGTGGCACAGTGGTGCTTGGCTACCACTGTTGCCTCTCAGCTCGAAGGTCCTTGAGCCTGTCCAAATCTGGTTCAATACTTTTTCACCTCCTTCCTTTCTCGATTCTATGAACTTAATTTCTGAAGTCCAATTTCATGACCTTTAGCCCCCCCCCCTGCAGTTTTCAGCTTTTTTGGGAAAGCATACTGTTACCTTCTCTTCAGTGGTCCAAAGAAGTTCAGAGAGGTTATAAAACTCAGTGTTTGGAGATTTGTTCTTACCTTCTAACTGTGACTGGTCCAGGTGAGTTGATGAGTCTTTAAAGTAGAACCGCAGCGTTCAAACCAAAGCAGGCTGGAAGTTAACGATCACGTGACCTGAACCTGGAGCGTCACTCTGGAAAATCCCTTTCATCCTCCTCAGATAATGTTAAAATCCTTCAAGCAGTCAAAACCAATCCCCAAGCGCTGTAAATAATCAAAAACTTTTGATCTGCTTCGGCTGCTTCAGTTTATGACTTCAAATCCACATGAGAAAACTTTGGCCGTCCCAGCTCCACCAGCTCCAGNACTTCAAATCCACATGAGAAAACTTTGGCCGTCCCAGCTCCACCAGCTCCAGGTCCTCCAGGAATATCTGAGATTTGAGTCCTGGCACTCAGCATCCCCTCGTCATATCTCCTCCAGGTATCCACCAGCCTCTCCTCTAAACACCATAAACTCTAATTTGAACCCAGAGATCCAGGTTTCCTCACCACCTGTTACCTGCTGTACAACTTCCGGGTTCAAGTCCGATGTCTCCGCCCACAAAAGTGACGTCATGGCCGATACACCGTGACTCGTGCAGCTCCAGCGCCCCCTGCTGGTGTGGCCCTTCCCCTCCAGCCTCACCTCTGTAACCAGATACTGGCAGGTAATTCTGAATAAATCTAGTTAAATTCTGTTTAGTTCATCTGCATCAGGCTGTGGAGGAAAAGTCTTGATGGTTGTGTTGAAAGATCAGTCATGATCAAAACCATGATTCAAGGCAATCATACAATATTACAACGACTGTGTTTATGGTAGCTTTCGAAGCTTATAGATAAAATTGTAATTGGTCTGGCTCAGTAAAGTTGATCATCGGCTTATCAGTTCCTCATGACCAGAGGCTTAATGCACCAGCAGTCCCACCCAGGGCTCCAGACTGGGACCAAATTTCCAAGAATATGCGACTTAAAACTTTAAGTGGTCGGATTTGTGCGATTAACTCATAAAGCTGTGTTGCTGTCGCTCTAACTGGCATGGGCAGCCACTGCATTGGCTGAATTGGTGAAAAGTAGTACTTTCATAACTTCAGTGGTTCTGTTGGTCTGTCCCTGCCTGATGCGTAAAATAAGCTGTTTAACAGGTGGAGAAAGTCAGGTCCTTGGTCATTTTGGACAATTAAAACATTAGAACGTGCTATTTCACTCTTTTCAGTCATTTTGGTCACACACATTTCTGAGTCCAATGCAACCACCAAACAGCAGCTAGCCGTCACAGTGAGGTATTCAGGGAACATCAGTAAAGCAGACGTTAAGGAAGTGAGGTGTTTCGCCTGTGACATGGTGGGAGTGCTCCCAGTAGACAAGTCAGTCTGGAGCCCTGCTCCGTGTCATCTTTCTTCAACTACACAATTGCAGATCATGCCTGGTTCGAATTAGAATAGCAGGTACAGGTGGCACAGTGGTGCTTGGCTACCACTGTTGCCTCACAGCTCGAAGGTCCTTGAGCCTGTCCAAATCTCGTTCAATACTTTTTCACCTCCTTCCCTTCTCGATTCTATGAACTTAATTTCTGAAGTCCAATTTCATTTAAGACCTTTAGCCCCCCATAGTTTTCAGCTGTCTTGGGAAAGCATACTGTTGCCTTTTCTTCAGTGGTCCAAAGAAATTCATCCAGACGGCAACGATAAACATCGTACGATTACACTTTCTCAGTGCAAGGTCGGTTCTCACTTAAGGTCTGGGTGTTTAGTCTATATGTAGACACCATCTTCGAACAGTCCTCAGGTGTTTCTTAGTTAACTGGAATGGTTAACCAGTGCAAGCTGAGATGTGCCTCTGCAACACGAACTCTGGGAAGGCCTTGCCCAGGGCTTGGGTTACTCGCCTCCAAATCCCATGCCAACACCGTGGTCTCTCCCCTAAGCTACACAACCTATTCCTAGTGTATGAATATATTCTCTGCCTGAATGTCATCAAATATTGCTCAAAGGCCATGAATAGTTCATATTATCCTTGATCTGTGATAACTACATGTAATTGGTGCACTGTTTCACCATCAATTCATGAAGGTCGTATATGCTTGCACAAGCTCAAAGGAAATGCCATGATAATGTAGACACACTGACACCTAATGCAAAGTTAGAATCACTAATTAACCTATCATGCATGTCTTTGGAAATATTAAGTGGTTTGCACATATATATCACTTGTGCTGTACAAAGTTTACACCCATTTACACACCCAGCAATTAAACACAACAAAGAGGGCAGAACTGTCACTGTTGGTTTCAGTGTCTTGTCCAAGGACACTTTTACATGCCTAGGGTTTGGGGATCAAACCACCAGCATTGACAAACTTCTACTACCTGAGCCATGGAGGCCCAGGAGGAGCTAAACTGTGGGAGGAAGTTGGAGCACCTGGAGAAAATCCACACAGTGACAGGGAGAACATGCAAACTTCAAACAGAAAGTCCCCCAGTAAAAACCTTAGAACCCAGAATCTTGTAGGTAGGAGGTGACAGCGCGTACCTCCACACCATCATGCAAATCAAAAGCAATCAAGAGATGGATTTTTATTTT